CGTACTATGTACGTAAATGTAAATGCACATAATTTACATAAGTTTGAAACTAGGCAAGACTAATAAATTCTCATAGAAGTCAGGAGAGTAGTTATTTTTATGAGGAGGGTTTCTCTAGGAGGAGGTATCAAGGAAACTTCTGGATGACCAGAAATGTTCTAAGTCTCAACATAGGTGTAGTTCAAAAGCATATACATACATAAGAACTCATTCAGCTGCACAAAGATTTATGTTCTTTTCTATATATAAGTCATATCTCAATAAAACAGTTAAGAAGTAAAAGATGGCAGGAGGAATTAGAATTTAACTCTGTTTAGTTCCACAGCCCCTCTGTTCCCACTACACACTCTTTCAGAAATCAGTTTCAAGTTTCTAGGTTTAACACAGACATTTTTTCTGGGATGGTGCACAGAGATGTTTCCACAGATACTTTCTAAACTATTGCAAGTAGATACACACAGTGGATAATGTAGAGTACAAGCAGGTTGTTTATGAAAGGATGATGCAGTAAACTGGAACTCGTCTATCAGGGGTTTCATGAACTTAATGAATGGGAGGAGAAATAGCCTAGGAACAGAAAGCAAGTTAGGAGTCTATTGTAAATAGCTCTGCAAAGGTAAGTAGATCTTGGACTAAGAGACACAACAGTGTGGTTGGTGGATGAAATAAAAAGATTAGTTAAAGAGCCAGGTGAGTGTTATGATCAGTTGAGTGTGGGTAATGGGGCACAGACAGGAGCTGACCGAGGTGGCTGGATGGACCAAGCCTATGCAAGGCAGAACCTATTCAACCACCAGAAAGACAGGGACAAAGTGTATCACTCTGGGGGAAGGCTAAAGCTAGGCAAGTTGTCAGGGCTCTAGCTAAGTGATTTGGGATTTCAGGAAGGATTCTGGTCCTTGTAAAGTATACTGTTTTATGGGCTGAACTGTGTCCCCCAAAATTCATGTGCTGAAGTCCCAAGCCCAATACCTGAGAATGTGACTGTATTTGGAGATAGAGTCTTTAAAGAGGTAATTCAGTTAAAATGAGGTCATTAGGGTAGGCCCTAATCCAATATGACTGGATTCCTTATTTTAAAAAAAGGAAATCTGGACACAGACACCCACATCCTGAAGACTGTGTGAAGAGACAGGGAGAAAATGGCCATTTGTAAGCCAAGAAGAGAGGCCTCTGAAGAAACCAAACCTACAGATACCTTGATTTTGGACTTCTAGCCTCCAATTGTGAAAAGAAATAAATTTCTGTTATTTAAGCCACATTCTGTGGTACTTTGAAATGGCAGCCCTAACAAACTAATATTGTAAGTGTCAGTCTTGACCTAAGCCTATTCAAGTGAGGGAAGACACAGGCCCTAGGGCACCAGGAGCTAAATCATGCAGCTCAGAAAGCAGACAGGGGCACCAGGGACCAATGGATAGTGATCTTCTAGCCAAGAACTAGTTCCAAATTTCATATATGGGTAGGGATGGGCTTCTAATATTCTTCCAAATGTAATTCTCATTGGCTCAAAGACAGAGCAGAACAGAGCTATAGATGAAAAGTCTTCAATTCTGACATTGGGTAGAGTTGGAAGCAAGCAGGGGCTGGCTATCTCAGCCTTTAAAAAATAACTAACTGGATATCAACATAGAGCAAAAAGGTATGCTAGATCTAGTCAAACTGATGCAATCAATAAACAATTAAGATATTTATTTGTATTTGCAAATTTTTTAGATATTAGACTAAGAGATATGTATATGTGTGTATTCATGTCTAGTCTACATACTAATAGCAGTTCACTTCTCTTGGCTTTTGCATGCTCTGCCACAGATCAGCTGCTGTCCTTACTCCCTTGGGTCACTGTAATTTCCTCCTCACCAGTCCCTCTGCCTCAGTATTGCTCCCCAGTGATGAGGATCAACAACAGATCATTTAAGGCATGAATGGGTGTATTGCCATGATTTTCTCATTTGTCCGTGTATGTTTGCCAAGGAACGAAATCACCTAGAAATCCTTCTTGACTCTGTTCTAGTTTCCTAAGTCCATTATGAGGAATGGATTCTTCCACTCCAGGTACTTTCACATCCATCCTTTTTTTTTTTTTTTTTTTTTTTTTTACATTGTCACATATTTTAATTCAGGCTCTTTTCAGATGCTGCCTGAACTCCTGCAAAAGCTCCTTAGCATTCTGCTTAACCTCTGCCTCCCTCCTCACCACCTAGATATATCCTACGTAAAAATCTTTAAAAGATATCACCTTGACCACAAGGCCATTTTTTTACTTCTGCTTATAGCAACAAATTCAAACACTCCTCAGCCTAATGTTTAAGGCTGTGGGAATCTGGCCTCTTCTAACATTTTCAGTCTCATTTATAGCTAGCTTCCCAAATCCTCAAATGAATGGTTTCAGGCATTGCCCTCCACCATACCGGCTACACAGCCCTGCTTCCCACCCCTAGCGTTTGCACGTGTTTTTATTCCCCAACTTCTATCTTTTCCATGCCTCATTTGTCCTTCAAGAACACCTCAAATCCCAGACACTTTGTTTACTTTTCTCCTAGTGTGACATGCATCCTTCTCTGTAGACACATGCTACCCATCTTTCAAGTTCAGCCATAATTTCTACCGCATCTTTGAAGTCCTTCCTAACCACCCACCCTGGCATTTACTCCTTTGTGAAAGGCTACTGTGGGGCCATTTAGGTAACAGATATTATCTGAGCCCTAGAGGTCATGCTTGGATAAGACATATTTTCTCATTTCTGGGACAACGTGCCCTCCTCCTCTTTCTGTTCCTATTGCAGTTATTGCTCAAAGAATTGTCCATTAATAATGTGATATCTTAGGACATTTCTTCTCTTTTGAATTACCAATTATGTTTTTATGATTTAACTTTTAATAAATGGCTTATATTCCCCAGGTATGTTATAAAGACTTTGCCCCCAAATGATCTCATTTAATATGAGACAGGAGAGGGGCATCCTGCTACGTACCAGGCACTGAGGTGCCAGTGCTTCTCACAGAGTGCTATGTCTAGAAGTCCATTTTATGGGACACATAAAACCCATGATTTTACAGATATTATTATGTAGGATAAGGCTAAAGTAGATAGTACCCATGTAAGTTTAAGTGAGTTGATTTAAATAAAAAATATTAAATAATAATGGTTCAAGTGATATGCAGTTATGGCAAAAACTGTAGCAGTGTTTTTTCAATGACCAAAACAGTGTTAAATGATATTACATTTATTCCTCACAATGATCTTACAAATTAGAAACTGAAGTCCAGAGAAACATTGGGATTTATTTAAGTCACAAAGCTAATAGGTTTTGATGCAGGATTCAGATAGAGGTATATAGGTCTCTGACTAAAGCTCTCCGTGATGCCCTTTTGCATATAGGAAGATTTAGTTTTATTACCTAAGTGTGAGTGTCTGGCTTGTGTTTTTTATAACTCAGCTCATCTTAAAAAGATTTATTTTCTAGACGAAACTCTCCACCTCCAGAAAAATAAAAGGGGCACCAGAATGAATTTGGTATGTTTCAAACCACATTCATAAAACACACAAGAAAACAGACCTGCTTTCCTGCCTGGTTGAGTGAAACGTTAATTCTTCACCTTGGCATCTCAACCTACAGCTGTAATAAGGGCCGTTATGCCCAAATAGGCCCTTAAACGGAAGACCTGCTGAGCAGAGACCCACTTTCCCAGCCCTGCTCAACTGCGGCTGCTTTTTCTGCCAACTGACCAGGCTGAAGCAGCAGCAGGGGAGGAGGGACTGCAGGTAGGTGGGGAGGGGATCATTTTGAAAGCTCTAAATCCCTCCCAGGGAAGAAGCAGCTGCTCCTTGTTTTTCTAACATCTGTCCCATCTGTCCCCGGCTGCACCTCACCCTTCGGGGGCTCGAACTAGCTAAACGTGGATATGACAAGGAGGCATTTCTGAAGGCTGGCTGGTGAGTGGAAATGAGCATAATTGCCACAAGAAAGTTTCTTTTATCGAGAAGAGGGCATTTGGGATTCTTCAGGAGCATAGCTACCATCTTCCTTTCATTTTTCTCAAACACATACAGCTTTAATGGACAGAGTCGGCATGTGTAACGTCATCACCCCAATCAGGCTGTGCGCCCTAAGGATACTATTTCCTAGCGCCCAGTTTTTTATTTATTTTATTTTATTTTATTTTATTTTATTTATTTTATTTTATTTATTATTTTATTATTTTATTTTATTTTATTTTATTATTTTATTTTATTTTATTTATTTCATTTTATTTTATTTATTATTTTATATTTTATTTTATTTTATTTTATTTTATTTTATTTTATTTTATTTTATTATTTCCCCTCCAGGGGAGCCAGAGGCTGCTGCTTTGTGAGACAAATAATGATACTCGCAAACTGTACCGCCTCTATAGTAGAACAAACAAGCTGTGCATCTCTCGCACGTGTGGAGTTTATCACATTTAGCAGCGTGCTGCTTGCATCTGACTCCCCTGCCAACAGGATACTCCTCGAGACCAGGGACCTTATTTTTATTTAATTATTTGGCCCTCGTATCCAGAACTGTGGCTGGAACCGGACATAAAATAGACATTTATGAATGAACGTTAACGAAGAGAAAATAAGGGAACGGGACGATTCGTTCGTCCTCCCAAGGCGGACGTGGAGGGAGGGGCTTGGCCGTGAACGGAACCGCCACGTAAGGCGCCCTCCCAAAGGCCCACCCACCGCTTCTGCTCGGGTCCCCGCAGACCGGAGCCTGGAAGCCGGCGTTCGCGCTCCTCGCGGAGCGGGGCTGCGCGCGCCCGAGAGAGCCCCGCCTCCAAAGCGGGCGAGGCCACGCCCCCTTCCCGGTCCTTCCCGCCCAGGAGTCGCTTCCACTTCAATTACAGGCTTCGGGGCGGGGCCAGGAGGGCGCAGGCGCAGTGGGCGGCGGAAGTAGCGACGAGGGGAAGAAGAAGGCAGGAAAGGGGCCGCCGCCTCCTCCGCCTCCCGCGGGAAGCTCCCGGCCGCCGCGCGTGCCGCCCAGCCCAGGCCCCTCCCCTCCCCTCCCCTCCCCTCCCCTCCCCGCCCCTCCCCGTCCCTCCCCCGCCCGGGAGCGGCCCGGCGCTGCTCTCCTCTCCGCCCGCCGAGATGGCGCTCGACCCCGCAGGTACAGGGGCGGGACGCGGGGGTTGTGGAGGAGTCACGGCCGGGGTCCCTAACCGCGGCCTTGCAGCTGGGGGCCGGCGCCGCGCTGAGGTGCACCGCTGCCGCCCACGTCCGCTCACCCCCGGCGGCCGCGCGCCAGCCTAGGGATTCTGGCGGCGCACCTTGTTCCCTGCAGTCTCCGGTCGTCTTCCCGCGCCTCAGGGTCAGGGTTAGGTGAAGGGCACGGGGTTTGCTGTCCGAACTCTCGTCCATTTGTGGCCTAACACATTTCCTTCTTAACGCGACTGGTCTTTTTTATCCTCTTTTTCGCCCCTCTGGGGCACCGACTCCTTTAAATATCTGTAATCTACCTTAAAAGCGATAATCCAAAGGACCCATTATTGTGGCGGGAGTCAGATTTTTTTTTTTTTTTAAGATTTTATTTATTTACTCAGGAGAGAGGCAAAGATAGGCAGAGGGAGAAGCAGGCGCTCTGCGGGGAGCCCAATGCGGGACTTGATCCCAGGACCCGGGGATCACGACCTGAGCCAAAGGAGACGCTCAACCACCGAGCCACCCAGGCGTCCCCAAGAGTCAGTTCCTTGAGAAAGGATCCCTAAGATCTTGATCAACGTTATTTTAACTTTAGTGCTTCCACCCCACTTCTATCTGCAGCAGTAGTTTCAAGTTTCCCTCGATTTCCGGTCCTTACGGAAGCTCACCTAAGCTATTTATCTTACGGAAGCTCACCTCACCTCACCTCACCTCACCTCACCTCACCTCACCTCACCTCACCTCACCTCACCCGAGGTATCTTTGTAGGCTTTTCATGTAAGTATAGGAAACTTCATCTTTGAAGGGAGTGGTAATTGGACTAATCCACTCCCTTCATTTTATGAATGCGAAAACTTCAGGCTTTGGGAGGAGTACTGGCTTCAAGCGTTTGGAGATTCAGAAATGAGAAAGTCACTTTGGTGGCTCTCAAGGAGAGCGAAAAGTGTATGCCTTCTAAAGAGGGCAGTGACATAAATTACGTCTTTGCTGCCCTGGCTGCAGTGGTCGGTCACATGCGCTACGGAGGAATCCTCAGTGGAAGCAGGGAGATAGGTTAAGAGATGGTGGCAGTAGTCCAGGCACAAATAATACATTTACTGAACGCTTTATTATCAAGCTGAGTATTCTCGATTGTCCAACAACAGTGTGTGATGTGGTAGATAGTGTGCTTTCCCCTTGTGGATTAGGAAACAGGATCAGGGACTTCTCTAAAGCATGAGAATTTCTGGAACGCCTAATGATCACGCCAGTATTGGGCTAGGTGTTTGGATTAGACTTTATGAGGCTGTTAACAATTGATCTGGGCTTTTAAAATTTTTTTGATTTCTAAAAAAATATTTTTATTTATTCATGAGAGACACACAGAGAAAGAGGCAGAGACACAGGCAGAGGGAGAAGCAGGCTCCATGGAGCGAGCCTGACGTGGGACTTGATCCGGGGTCTCCAGGATCACGCCCTGGGCTGAAGGTGGCGCTAAACCGCTGAGCCACGGGGCTGCCCTGTCAGGTTACTCTTAACCCACTCAAATCTTACGGTGTGCCCAAGGCTACCCAGCTAATTGCTGGTAGAGTCAAGTCTGGAATAGAACTCTGTAATTTCATCTCCAGGTTGGTGTTACAGACCATGCCCTCCATTGGAGTATTTATTGATTAAACAAATACATGACTGCTTGTGATATGTTACAAGACTACAATGGTAAAAGAAAGAAGACAGCCCATCCCCATATACGCTTTGCCAGATGATGATAAACATGAAGAAAATAAAGTGTTATGTGGTAGGTAGTGAAGAGAAGACTACCTCAGAGCGGTCAGTGAAGAGCTCAATGAGGAAGTGTTGTTTGAATTGAAATCTGAAGGTCAAGAGGAAGTAGTTAGTGTGAAGAGGTAGAGAAAGAGTATGCCAGGCAGCCAAAAGTAGCAAATGCTTAAATATTTGCCTATAATGAGGGCCAGTGTGTGGTGGAGATCCATAAGGGAAGATGTTGGGAAAGTAGGCAGGAGCTAGATGCTGCAGGATTTTTAAGACTCTGATAAGAAATTATTTGGACTTTTCCTGATGTTAGCAAAGCCTTTGGAGTCTTCTAAAGAGGGCAGTGACATAAATTATGTCTTTGCTACCCTGGCTACAGTGGTCACATGCGCTACGGAGGAATCCTGAGTGGAAGCAGGGAGATAGGTTAAGAGATGGTGGCAGTAGTCCAGGCCAAATATGATAGTATCTTAGTATGGAATGGTATTAGAGAAGCTTGAAAGAAATATAAAGCTTATTCAGTTAATGTTTTGGAGGAGTCATTGAGAAGACCTGCTGTTGCATTGTATAAAGGTGATGAGGGAAGTGGAGGCATTAAGAATTAATAGATATTTTTTACTAACTGGATGGCAGATGATGGTCAGATTTAACAGCGTGATCATTGGAAACTTGTTAAAAGGGATGGAGGCAGGATTGGATGGGGAGGAAGAAAATGGAGTCAGCAAGTTGGTGTCTAAATTCCAGAATAAAAGTGTATTGAAGCCAGTTTTGTGTTTTTTAACTTCATTTTTATTTGGTTCCTGAGTGGAAGCATAGGTTTACGTTTTGATATTTCTCCTGCTTTTTATACAGTGCTATGTGCCCATACGGAGTAGATGTATTTCTGAGTAGATGAGTAGATATTTACATCAAATGAGGTTTACATAGCAAAGTCTGTTTTTCTACTGGTTTATGTTAGATTTTTAAAAATCTTTTTTTTTTTTTAAGTTTTTACTTTTAATTCCAGTATAGTTGGCATACGGTGTTATTCATTTCAGGTATACAGTATAATGATTCAACAATCCTGTGCGTTACTCAGTGCTCATCACACTAAGTGTACTCTTTTTTTTTTTTTAAGATTTTATTCATTTATTCATGAGAGATACACAGAGGCAGAGGCTCCCCTGTGGGGAGCCTGATGTGACTTGATTCCAGGACTCCAGGATCACGACCTGAGCCAAAGGCAGATGCTCAACCACTGAACCACCCAGGTGCCCCAGACTAGGTGTACTCTTTTTTATTTTTTTATTTTATTTATTTTATTTTTTTTTTAATTTTTATTTATTTATGATAGGTACACAGTGTGAGAGAGAGAGGCAGAGACACAGGCAGAGGGAGAAGCAGGCTCCACACACCGGGAGCCCGACGTGGGACTCGATCCCGGGTCTCCAGGATCGCGCCCTGGGCCAAAGGCAGGCGCCAAACCGCTGCGCCACCCAGGGATCCCCTAGGTGTACTCTTTAATCCCCATCACCTCCACCTGCCTCCCCTCTGTTCTCCATAGTCAACAGTCTGTTTCTTTGTCTGTTTCTCTCTTTTTTCCCTTTCTTTTGTTTCTTAAATTCCACATGAGTGAAACCATATGGTATTTATCTTTCTCTGACCAACTTATTTTGCTTAGCATTACCCTCTGTAGCTTTACCCACATTGTCCCAAATGGCTGAATAATTCTTTTTTTACGGCTAAATAATATTCCATTATGTACATGTATACCCCACATCTTCTTTATCCGTTCATCTATTCATGGGCACCTGGGCTGCTTCCACAATTTGGCTATTGTAAATAGTATTGCTATATACATAGGGATGCATGTATCCCTTTGAATTAATGTTTTTGAATTTTGGGGGTAAATACTCGGTAGTGTGGTTCCTGGATCATAGCATAGGGTAGTTCTATTTTTAAGTTTTGGAGGAAACTGCATACTGTTTTCCACAATGCTGCATCAGTTTGCATTCCCACCAACAGTGCATGAGGGTTCCTTTTTCTTCCTCTCCAACACTTGTTTCATGTGTTTTTGATTTTAGCCATTTTGACAGGTGATCTCTCATTGTAGTTTTGATTTGCATTTCCCTGATGAGTGATGTTGAGCATCTTTTCACATGTCTGTTGGTCATCTGGATGTCTTCTCTTTATCAGATGTGTCATTTGCAAAAATCTCCCATTCAGTAGGTTGCCTTCACTGGTTTATGTTAGATTTTTAAAGATCTTTATACAAGTTTGATCTTCATTTGGCAACAGCTTTTTTTTTTTTAAGATTTTATTTATTTATTCATGAGAAAGAGAGACAGAGAAAGACAAAGACATAGGCAGAGGGAGAAGCAGAGGGAGAAGCAGAGAAGCAGGCAAGCAGGCTTCATGCAGGGAGCTTGACGTGGGACTCTTCCCGAGTCTCCAGGATCACGCCCTGGTCTGAAGGCGGTGCTAAACCACTGAGCCACCCGGGCTGCCCGGCAACAGCTTTTAACTACCTTAGTAGGGTCTGTTTTTCTCAAGAAACTCTGAACCTAGCAATGGAATGCAGGTTACATATTTACTCCTATAGGTAGTTTTATTTAAACTGTTTTCCTTTTTGTTAGTGTAGAGGTCATAAGGGCACTCTTTGTACTTTTATCAGCTGTAATTATGTTCATTATTTTCTCTATTTGAATGTAGAGAGAAAAAGCTGGAAGGAGTCCACAACACCCAAGAAAAGTGGCTGCAGAAAGAGAATAATTTTTAAAAAAATACTAGTATGTGTACTATATGGGATGAATACTCCCAGATACTGAGATTTAATTTTCTAAGCCTCTGACATTTTAAAATAGTCCATAGACAGTTCTAATATGCAAGTAGAGTAGATGAGGAACCACTATTCTGAACTCTTCCACTTTTATTGACTTATTCTTCAGCTCTGTTTTCTTATCAGTCTAATCTATTTCCAGAGGAAATTATTCCTATTTTAACCATGAATGGAACCTTTGAGGGCATAGTAATTGTTCAGAAATATGCGGTATAGCTCATTCCCATATAATAGGACTTTATTTTTCATCTATTGCAAGTTATATTTGCCAATATATAACACCTTCTACAAGTATTGTGTATTTTAGAAATCTTGTCAGACTTAAATGATTGAAAATTTAAATGCTTGTGTATTTTGAATGCCTAACACATCGCCTATAGGAACAATTTTAAAAGTGGTGC